CCCTCCTTTCGTCTGATTCCCTCCTCTTCGTCTGTGTATGTCTGGACCTGGCGCTTTCTTCCTGTGTACAGCGCATACGATTTCGCAGTAGAAAGCCAACCTCCTTCGACCACCCTCCGTGTGTGCAAGGAAGTTTGCAGGCTGGGAACTATACGGGATCTTATGGTGAATTTGGAGGGCGCCGTCTGACAACTATACGGTGACTTCCAAAGGACCGCGAAGGTACATTTCGTATAGTAAGTGGAGCAGTGTCCCACTACCTGAAGTCCTACAGCAGATAGCAGTGGAGCGGGACCCATGTTCATGGTCACCAAGCCCAAAAATGCCCCCCCAACGATTAATGAACAGTTTGGCAGACTTCGCTGAGTACCCTTATTTTTGGGAGTTTAAGGGCCTTGAAATATCCTGAAATTGGGGGTCTCAAACCTGGTAGGCATCGTAATAGAGCCATGAATTTCAGCTACGATGATTCTGACTGAGAATTCAACCTGACCCGACCACCCGCAGCAGGACCTGAGCAGCCATTTCATTCTGGCTTGATGCTCCTGGATTGCCACGTTTACAGGACGTCAAAACTCACCCCAGCAAGCTATCAGCCTTGTCTACTGGACTTGGACATCCTTCTCGGGCCGAAAATGACGGCAACAGGATTAGAACCGACCACCTATTTGATGCAGCTACTCAGGCATGAGACCTACCGAGCTAGACGACAGGACACTATTCCCAGTTTGCCTTACTGGTGTGAGGTGGGGTCAACCTTTCCCCTCTCCAGCCCCACAGTCTTCCTCCAAGCCAGCATCTCAGCAGTTGGCCGCTATAGATTGTTGGTCATCGCAAAGGCCACCATGGCAGATCAAACAGCATATCCAGCTTGCCACCAACCACTTATCTGCGCTGGGTGTCACCGCTCCGCTCGGTCTAACCTCTCCAGGACCTCCCCCATATTAGGTCTCCGTTTGGGGTTCGTGCTCACGCACTCCATTGCCAACTTCAGCATGGCGGCCCGATGCTTTCCAGCTGAGGGTCTGCAAGCTCTTGCACTCCGTTCATCTTCGTGGAATACACCCTTTTCGTGCTGGCCTTCGATCTCAAGGATGTCCTAGTACGGGCCATGCAGAGGCTTTCTAGCTGAGGGTCTGCAAGCTCTTGCACTCCATTAATCTTCATGGAATACGGCCTCTTCCTCCTCGAACGCACAGTAGGCGCCACTCCTGTCCCTCTGTATGTTCTGCTACCCTCTTCTTCGTCAGAGGACGAGAGACACTCCAGGCCCCGAAGGGTTCTCTTTGCCCAGTATGTCAGAGTCTGCGGTATTCCTTCTGCCCCATTCCTGGCGTCTTGCTGTTGCTCGGGCAAAACATCCATCCGTCCAAACGCCTTCCTCCTGGTGACGAGCTCCAGCAAGATCACCCCAAACGCGTACACATCATTCTTGTAGGTCAGCCAGCAAGATCTCATGTACTCTGGCGCCATGTAGCCCCATGTGCCCGCAACATTGAGCGTGTGGATTGTGTCCCCGGACCATGTCACTGTGTGCTCTGGAGTGTCGAAGGTCACAAGGTCAATGTTGGTCATGTTCCCAGGGGGCTGCTGTGCACCTGCGAGCAGCGGCGGGGTGCTGCTGCTGAAAGCGCTCTGCCCGAGCTTTGCCAGCCCGAAGTCCGAGAGGTATGCCCGTATCTTCGCGGAATCTCCATGGCCACCATATTCAAGCACCACATTTTTGCTCTTGACATCTCTGTGGATGACGGGGGGGTCCACCTCCTCGTGCAGGTGCCGCAGGGCCTTGGCAACCTGCCGCGCGATGGAGAGGCGCGCCTTCCAGCTCAAGGGCCCACGCTCCGGCCTCGCGTCCCCATCCCCCGGGTTGGGTTCGGGCGGTGCCCCATGCAGACAATCATAGAGGGTACCGCCCTCCACAAAGGGGTAGACGATGAACGACCTGGACTGGTGAGCGGCGTACCCGATGATGCTGCAGAGGTGCATGTGACGGAGCGTGGCAAGCACATCCAGCTCCGCTTGGAACTGGCGGAACCTGGTCTCCGAGAACTCGGCGCCTTTCATCATTTTGATGGCTACCTTCTGCCCGCCCGCAATCTCCCCCCTGTAGACCTCCGCTGCTCCGCCTTTGCCGACAAGCCGCGACGGGCTGAAGCCGTCGCACGCTTTGGCGAGCTCTTCCCAGGAGTACTGCTTCAAAACGGACGACGGCCTCACCAGCAACCCCGGCTGCCCTCCCGCTGCGCTACCATAGCTGTCCCCGGTCCCTGATGACGTCATCTCCGTGGCTTTTAGCGATCTCGTCATGGCATCCCCGGAGAATCTCACCGTTTGTCGGCGGCCTCTTCAGCGTCGAATGACGATCAATGCTCCCACAAGCAACAGCAGTGCCACCGTCACAGTTACCGTGGTAACAATTACGACAGTAACTTGAGAACGAGACGGGTTCAACTTCTCCTCAGGAGCCCGGCAGGAGAACAAGGCCGCCCTTTTGACGTTGACCTCCATTATCTGCATGTCGCCCCTCCCTATGTAAAGTTTGTCTTCGTCACGAGAGAGTGCGAGTGAGAGCAAGATAAAATCTGACGATGGAGATTGCAAGCTGGCAACTGTCATCACGGCTAGTGCGTCTCCCGTGCTGTTGAGGTGAATCAGTCTGAGTAGCCCAACGTACTTCCCCGATACGAAGTCGTTTCTGCCGCGGAACTCGGCAACGAAAAGGTTGCAGCCGTCGCGTGTGAGTGTCAGGCCCACGGGATTATTGAAACTTGCATTCAACGCCGGGCCGTCTTCCGAAGCCCTGCTCCCGTTCCTTCCCGCAATCGTATCCACCTCTCCCGTGGCGGCGCGGATCCGCCGAATGCAGTGGTTTTCTCTGTCAGCAACATAAATGAGTTGCCCGTCTTCAGAGATGGCATGCGAGCTAATCTAGGCCCAATTAAAACGCACTTCGAGAGGGTCCTGGCTGTCCCTGAATCCCTCCCCTTCAAGCTGCGGCCCAATCCAATGCTCTACCCGCGGATAACTTAAGAGTGTCCGAAGTCAAGTTCATCCTGTAGATAGCGTAAAAAGACGCGGCGTAGAGCACACGACGGGCGTTGTCGACGGCCAGCGTCCGGAAACAGTACGGAACGTACGGTCCGCTCAGTTCGCTCTGGTCACCAAACAATACTCCTCTGTAATTTCGAGAAAAGAGTTCGGTGCCGTCCATAGCCAAGGCTCGAAGAGTGAAGTTGCTGCAGTCGGACACGTGAAGAATGCTCCCTCGCGACGAGTTGCTGTTGCCGCTCTGTGGGGATCCCGACCCCGCCAAGTCGGGATCCTCAATCGCCATCCCTATTGCCACGCTTGTATTCGCTGCGCTAATCCACGGCCCCGCGATCGCGGTGACAATTTTCCGGCCGGGCCCCACATCAAGTGGGAGCTTGTAGATGTGGTCGCTCATGATGAAGAAGAGAGAGTCATCCGGCGGCGGCGACAAAGCCATGGCCCAAACATGCTGTTCATTAGTGGGAGGCTTAGGTAGCATCGCATTCTCTGCAATCAACTCGCTACTGCCAGATAAAAATGTCGTGTTCAGGATCCTCAGGTTGCCGAACAGAGCTCCCTCCCTCAGAAGCTTCCCCCGCTCGAAGCCAAGCGATGGTCGGCCATCGCCAGCTGAGTATGCATCTCCTCGCTTTACCCTCCTTGACGATGGCGACGGCGGACTCTGAGGGGAAAGTGCACGTGGCGGAGATGATGATGATGATGCTGTCGCCGCCACCCATATCACGTGCAGCATAGATACGGCAACAACGATGATGAAGGTCAATGAGAAGACAGCCATGGATGGTTGTTGACAGGGGAGGACGGAGGGTGGCTATCTCGTATCCTACTCGCACTTCATGTAGTAAAGGCGGGAGTCGTGAAGGAGCTCGTGCTTGGGTTCCCTCTCTACTTACTAGTAGTAACACGCACGTACGTATTACGCAGGACACTCGTCGTCTGTCGTCGGTCTCTATTGCCTTCTTTTTTCGGCAGGCGCCCAACTCCTTTCTCGACGCAATTGTTTCCTTCCTTGGTGAAACAGCTCTCTACCACACTACCGCCTTGATTGCCGCACCTATGGTGATGATAGACGGACGGCCAGACAGATACTGTAATTGCGGAATGACGGCGAGATTGGGGAATCACGGCGTGACGGCGGTATGATGTCAAGCAGTGGGGAAAGATACAATGGATGGAGCGCTTGGTTCGAAAGACTAAGCGAGTGCCTGCACGTCCAAGTGAGGGCCCAAAAGGATAAGATATAAAAGCAAACGGATAGAACAACTACGATACGGGCTCATCTCCTCGGAATGAACTTATAGCTTGCTTTCCACCACTTCCCTCTCGGTTTTCGGAAAAGATGGAAGCTTTTGCTCCTCCGCAATTTTCTTATCGTTTTTATGGAAGCTTTTCCACCACTTCCCGCCAAGAACTACTCCCCAACACGCTGCGCAGTGCGCACGCGACCTGCCTGATTTGTGCCGATATACGCATCATTACTATATAGTTACAACAATCGACCAGAAAAAGCAGATGGAAAATCCCAACGCCAACTACACCCCGTGCAGCACAACATGCATCACACACTCCTCTCTCTCTCTCTCTCTCTCTCTCTCTCTCTCTCTCTCTCTCTCTCTCTCTCTCTCTCTCTCTCTCTCTCTGTGAAAGGCACACAAAGGAACACAAAGGGTCACACTCAGACACAGCTCTGCTTTCCCTGTCGATAGTGCCAATCCCCGACTAGGTTTGTCTCGCGGCCTTTGGGTCCCCCGCAGACATGTGAACACCCGTGCTCACACACACGCGCGCGCGCGCGCACACGCCCACGCACGTGCTGCACGCACCCAGAAGTCGTTGAATCTTGAAGATGTACAAGTAACAAAGACCATGTGATGGATGTCGTCAATGGAAAATCACGATTTGAGCACTCGGGCACGAAAGGGAGACAGGGGGGTTAAATCATGAGGGTTCGGGAACTGCATTCAGCGCGAGAGAATGTACAAGTAACAAAGACCATGTGATGGATGCCGTTAGTGGAATTACGGTTTGAGCATTTGGGCACGAAAGGGAGACAGCGGGTATAAAGCATGCAGGTACGAGAACTGCATTCAGCGCGAGAGAGGCAAAAGTTACTCCGGCTCACTGAAGTTGTCACCTGCATTGGGCGAAACTATTCCGTGTCAATAATTCGCCACTGTGACAATAAGAATGACGAGGAGCAGAAGAGAAAGCTCCGACTTCCGTGCCTTAGCGCCTAGAAAAGTGCAAATGCATGTTCCCGCAGAGAGGGGCGATATGCATCCTGCCATCCTTTACTACGCATCTTGTCGCATTCTGCGGAAGATGCACTCGTACAGTCGTACTTCTTTCGTCTCGAGGACAATGGTGTGGCGAGGCGCTCAATAACAAGCGACATGGCGCAGCGGACACTTGCTTTGCTGTCGGATCGCGGTCCTTCTGACTACGCTTCAGTTATCGCCCCATTCTCGCGAATTTCGAGCGAGGATGTTAAGTTCGGGTGTTCATCGTGAAAGAGAACAACACCCGTCTGCAAGTCACCACCTAGAAACCCAACGAACCACCCACACCGACTGAATAGCCTGCGCGTTTGCCTTCCCTGCCTCGATGTGCATTCCATACTATATATATATATACATATTACATATAGACATATATCAGCAAAGCGATCCAGAGGGAGGGGCTTAATGGGAAAATTTGAGACGCTGGTAACAATATTTAACTGCGTAGGCGGCTACTAGGCGCCCACTACTGCCCGGAATGATTGCCATGGAAGCTGAAGTGGAAGACGAAGACCGTCTCCTCCAGCTAGATGGAGTAGAGCACGACGTTGATTGCAAAATATACTCTCTCTCTCTCTCTCTCTCTCTCTCTCTCTCTCTCTCTCTCTCTCTCTCTCTCTC